CACTAGGCATCAATTGGGTGCTTTAGGTCCCAGACCTGACCCTATCATTGGTTTCTGGACAGATCATTTATTTCCCCTTGAAATTCAGGAGAAGGGGTGTGTATTAAAATCTAAGAAGTAGAAGGAATTTTATGAGATTATTTCATCTAGCTTCTGCATTTTACTGTAAAAGAGACTGACATCAAGCCTTAAGTCACAGAGCTGATTAAAGAGGTAGAGCCAGTGGAATATTTCCCCTAAACAAACATTTATAGTCTTTTTATTACATCATCTCAGTAGAGCCTGTAGAGGCTTATGCTGAGAAACAGAGATAATGCTTTTGATTGATAATGCAGCATAAAGTAGTGTCTAAATGTAAAAATGTTATTTTAAGATGAGAACATGGAAAGAAACCAGAACACAGGAATCTTCCCAATGTGTGAACAGACAGGAAACAAAGTATAAATGCCCTAATTCTTGTTCCCTAAAAACTTAAACATAAACAAAAGGTCTTGAAAATTAATCTGCCACAAAACTTTACCAGAAAATGGAGATTAGGACATTCCTGCTGCCAAACAGTATAAAGGACACAGTTGGATGTTGACTCTGATCATAGATGGCTTGGCTTTAAAGGTGGGCTCTATTAATATAAAGTTGTATAACTTAGGTAAATTTTTAAAATCACTTATTAAACTGCTCTGGATTAAGCTATTCAACATTAAGTGAACAGAAGGTCACTGCCACTAATTTAATGCCAACAGGTTTCCAATCTAGGGCGCAGAAAGAAAATAAACTATTCAAAAGATCAGTTTCCAAACTGGGAAAGCGGCCTCAGGAGGAAACCAAAAATGCACCCCATGGAGACAACCTGAGTTCACTCTTTATATAGAAAGTCTCTCTCCTTCCCCCCCATCCCCTCCAGTCCCTGATTGGCCCATTTTTAAGCAAACAAAGATTCCAAGTTTGCACAGTCTGATTGGTCCAAATAACACTGTTCTTTGATTGGGCAGAATAGCACACTCTGAATGTTCTTTCAGGAGCTGCTCTGATTGATCAGTAAAGATGCAAATGAGGGTATAACTGTCATTCTGATTGGATGGGTCATCTGTCAGCCCATTGGTTGAAACAGACACCAGGAATTCCTTTATAAGGTCAGACTGGTCTGCAGGAAGGAGGCTAGCAACTGAGTCTGTGGCTTCCCCTGAAATGCATAGTGTGTTAGAGCTGTCAGGAACTGCTAGAGATTTCGGGCCAAATTAACTGGAAGAAAAACCTCCCCTGAAAATCCGATGGACTAGATTAGAGCTATCGGTGGGTTTAGCAAGGAATTATAGGTGGAAAGGAATGATTTTAGCGATTGCTCCATCTTTAACTTTATTCTTTTAATTCTTAAGAAACTCTTAAAGTGGGTATTATTCTTTGCACTTCACAGACTAGAAAAGTGGAGATGGTAGTTGCTTGGCTATCAACTATAAGTTGATTCCGTAGTGCTTCCTGGTAGAAACTCAGAAATCTGAGTCTACCTAGCAGTGAATGAAGGTCTTTTCCAAGGGGAGGCTTCCAAGACCTGTAAAAGTTCCCCCTTTCCCCGGGGGGGCTGGAAGGGAACTGTGTGTGGGTGGTGGAGGAGGAGAGCACCCACATTCCTCTTCAAGCCCAGGAGCTACAGGCTGGCGCAGGGGACTTTCTCCAGGACGCTCAAGTCTCCCTTAAAGAGGTCGGGTTTCACACAGCCAGAGAACCTGGGCTTGAGGCTTTCCTCCTTTGGGGGGGGCGGGCCCGGCCTAAGTGGAGCCCCCTCAGGGTGAGCCAGGGGAGCTGACTCCCCTGTGGAAGTCTGGGTTTCAGTCCTTCATTCAGAAACTCCACCTTCTGAGTAATAAACAGGGGAGGCCAAAGAAGGGGACCAAAAAGAAGCACGCAGGGACGCGGGGCCTGCTAACTGCCCCAGCCTCGGGAGCCCTTGCCTTTTGGCCCTAAGCGCGACACCCGCCCCCCTCCCCACCCCGGTTCGGCAGGAGGCGTGGCCCGCGGGCGCCGCCATCTTGGGCGCCGCTCTAGGCGCGGTGTTTACCTCTCTATGGTCTCCGCTCCCGCCCCGCCCCTCCCCAGTCATTGTCTGGAGGAGCAGCCGCGGCCGCAGCGCCTTCTCTTTATAAGCCCGCAGTGCCCGGATGTGAATGGATTACAATGTATCTTTCAGGGGAACCTATTATCATCAATGTGACTCCGCGGGGGAGTCCATGGTGATGATGAGGATAAGGATGAGGAGGAGGATGAGACACTTCTAAACTTGGAACAAGTTTAAGATTTTATGAGAGGAGAAGAGAAAAAAAACAAACCAAAAACCCACCACCAACAAGATTGGTTTGAGGGGAAAATGATAACTATCCTGTATTGATTTTTTTTTTTATAAACAATAAGAAAAAGTTGTTGGATTTTTTTTTAATGATTTTTTTTGTGGGGGGAGGGAATTTTGTTGCAGTTTGATGGTGGAAAAATGCAAAAGCCACAGCCAGGTGCATAATCTTGTGGATATCCCTGGAGCAGACTGAGTACCAGTTAAAGTACTTTTTTGGGGGGACACACATGTGAGATACTAAGTCCTTGCGGAAGATTTTTGTTTCTCTTTTTAAAGTCACTTTTCCTTGGAATATTGTGAGCATATTTGTGGCCATTTAAGGTAACGTTACTATTTGTAATTGCATTTAATTTTTAAAAATATCGATCCCAATGCTTTATTCAAACAAAAGGAACCAATGAAATGATTGCCAATGGGGAAAAATTGTGTGCATGTTGTGTATGTATTCCCACATAGAGCAATAAAGGTTTTTTGTTTTTTTTCAGAATGTGTATTTTAACACGTTAATGTTGCGTGTGTTGTAGACACAGGGTAAAGCACGCTTGCAGTTAGGAGCCGGTGGAATTCTGAAGCTTCATTTCTAACCTACAAAGTGATGTAAAAAAAAGTATGTTTTAAGAGCATGCAGGGCCTGTAACGGTAAATGCAGAAATTAAAAAACTTACAGTGCTGGCGAACGGGGGGACTCGGCGTGCCTAGGAACTCAAGTGTAAAAACAAAACAACATCCACCTTCAAAAACGGCCTCTCTCTCTCTTTCTCTCTCTCTCTCTCTCTCTTTTTTTCCTTTTTGGCAAAAGTTTGCAGCTATACTATTTTGTGACTTAAAAGGGAGGGCGAAGAAAGTATGCGATTCAGGTTTCGCCCCCAATGCAAAACTACTGGAATGAAAATCTTTCCCCCGGCTTGGTTTATCCACGGAGAAGAAAAATATTGCTCCTCTCGGCCAAGTCTTTTTGCATCACGTGTAGGTGCAGTCTAGTATCAACTTGCTCTGTGGCGTGTGTGTGTGTGTGTGTGTAGTCGATGTGCGAGTGAGAGAAGGCACGGGAGTCAGGGAAAGAAAGAAGTGAGAGGAGGGGGGGGGGGATGCAAACTCGAATAAATAATCTCCAAGTGCCTCCGAGGGTGCTGGAGATGGGCAGACCCTGGGCTGCTCCGTCTTCCGATTGCAATTGACGATCGGGGGGAAAGCAAGCGAGGTGCTGGATGCATGTATTATTATTATTTTTTTTTTATGTGTGTGTGTGTGTGTGTGTGTGTGTGAGGCGGGGGAGGTGTTGAGATTTTTCTCCCCCCAGGAGGGTGGAGAGAAGAGGGGGGTAGCCCCCCGCGCATCCCCACCAGCCCGATCCCACGGAGCCAGCCGCGTCTCCCCGGAGCCCCCCCACCCATTTCTTTGCTGAACTTGCAATTCCGTGCGCCTCGGCGGCGGGCCCCCTCCCCCTCCCCGTCCCCTCCCCTCCCCGGAGGAGAGAGTTGGTGTTAAGAGTCAGGGATCTTGGCTGTGTGTGCGCGGAGCGGTAGTGGCGGTAGTGGCGGCGGCGGCGGCGGCGGCGGGGAAGGACCGGGCGGCGGCGGCAGCGGGGAGACATGAGCGCCGCCCCGGCGCCGGCGGAGCCCCGGGAGCCCCTCGTCGCGCGCGGGCGGTAGGTACCGGCGCCGGCGGCGGGCGCGGCGGGGCTGATGCGCGGGGCGCGGGGCTGCGGCGGCCCCGCACGCCGCTCCGTTCGCCTCCGGGGGCCGCGGGCTCCCGGCTCCCGGCGCTCCCAGCAGAGACACCCCTTCCCCTCCCGCGCCTCTTCCCTCCCCCCCCCCTCCTCCCGATCCCCTCCTTCCCCGCCGCCACCCCTCCCCGGCAATGCCACTTGGAGGGACGGGTGACTTTGCCAAGGGCCTGACTTTAATTTTTACAATCCTTCCTTTCTTTCGCAAATTAGGCTGCTGGACAATTACAGGACCCGACCCCCCACTCTCCTCCCCCCCCCCGCCCCCCGCCTTTCCCTCCGACCCTGTCACCCCTCCTCCCCCTGCGGACGTGTTTTCACTCCAGAGACGCTCATCTTTAATTTCTTTATAGCTACTTTGCAGTGAGGAGGGGAGTGGGGTGTGTGTGTGTGTGTGTGTGTGTGTGTGTGTGTGTGTGGGATGGAGGGTGGGGGGGGAAAGTTGAGACCGGATCGTTCTCAGTAGTTTCTCTTTTTTCTCTATGATCCATTCATTTCTCGCTCTACCTCCTGTTGCATAAAATGATGCGCTGAAGAGCGTCTCTCTCTCTCTCTCTCTCTCTCTCTCTCTCTCTCTCTCTCTCTCTCTCTCTCTCTCTCTCTCTCTCTCCTTCCCGGATTTGGTTTGATAGTGGATGTTACCAGTTTTGATCGTCTCTTTAGAGATACAGTATCAATAATCGCTTTTTTTTTTTTTTTTGCTATTGCTGCCTATTCCATCTTTAAAAAAAAAACAAAACAAAACAGAAAACAACTCTCCCATCCCTCCCTCCTTTCCACCTTAATCCTGCCCGCCCCCACATCCTCACCCCCAATCCCTCCCCCCCACTCCCCAGTCTCCAAAAATCCGATTGTGTTTTCTCCCAAGGATTGGGACTGGATTTTCTGATTGCGGTTATTTCCATGTTTCTAGGTTTGTGTGATTTTGCTAAAATGCATCACCAACAGCGAATGGCTGCCTTAGGGACGGACAAAGAGCTGAGTGATTTACTGGATTTCAGTGCGGTAAGAAAGAACGGTGGAAACTAACAACAGCTGTGAAAACAAAACAAAACAAAGCAAAAAAGAAAACAAAACCCCAAACACTTAGCTAGACACCAATAGTGATCTGAAGGACAGAAATAATTTTTAATTGGCCGAACCCTCGGTAAAATGAAGGTGTTTTTGATAAAGTTTCAACTCCAATTTTTGGGTATGATGGACGATTCAGGCTCCCTCCTCCCCCCCCCCCCCAGAGTCTAATGAACTCGCCTTGAATTCCATACCCCCCCCCCCCCCCAATAATTGAATCTCACCCCAGTGGAAAGGAAAAACAGACACCCCTAACATGGCAAATCACTCCTAAAACTTGGCCTTATCTGAACAGTTGAAAGTACGAATACTTTGGGCACTACCCCTTTATTTATTTACTTATTTTTTTCTAGACATGGAAAGGAGAACATAGGAGACCCTGTAGTCTCTTTAAAGTTTTAAACTGATGATGCTTTGGATGAGTAGGATCTGTAGTTACTTCGATACTCTTCCCCCCCCCCCCCATTCTGAGTAGTGTATTTAGTGAGCATATATCCTTAGAACCCTATATACTCTTTTTTATACACTTCCTAGCGACGAGATCAGTTCAAAGAAGAGCTTACACACTTGTGGAGTTTTTACAGCTGCACTTGGTCCTTCTCCATCCCTCTGCTTCCCTTTCCCAAACCCAGTCCCACTCCTGTCAGGGGAATTGATTTTTTCCAAGGCAGATGAGTTTGGTGTGAGATGCATTTGCAAACTGAAAAGAATCCACAAAACCCATCAATACAGTCACAGCCACCTTCTAAGGGGGGGCTCTCTCATGCTGCTGTTGCCGCCGCCGCTGCCGCTGCTGTGCTGCCGCTCCTCCAGACCTCCTTTTGGAGAAATGGCTTTCGGAAGTTTTGCCAGGAAACATAGCTTCGGCAGCTTCGCAGCCCCCTTTCTGCTTGCTGCACTTTCTCCATTCGTTCCTTTGCTTTTTGCAGGCTCTGACCCAGGGAAGGTGCGCATTATCCACTTAGATATGTGGAAGAAGAGGGAAACTAATTAGGGTCGAAATAAATGCCGGAGAGAAGAGGGAGTGAAAGAGAGAGTGAGTGAGTGAGTGAGTGTGTGTGTGTGTGTGTGTGTGTGTGTGTGTGAGAGAGAGAGAGAGAGAGAGAGAGAGAGAGAGAGAGAGAGAGAGAGAGAGAGAGAGTCTTGCTTCAAATTGCTCTCATGTTAGAGATGAAATGAGATTTTAGTGCAGGTGGCACTTTTACTTTTATTTGGGTTCACATATAACAGGCAAATCCTATACGGGCTGGAAAATGGACATTGCCACGTTTATGGCCAAGGTTTTCATATAAAACAAACAACTTTTTTTTTTTTCCCCCTTCCTTCTCCTTTGTAAAACTAGTGTTTTCTAGAGAGGTTGCTTCCCTCCACACTGAATCCTGATAACCTTAAGGGGACTGTGTTTGTTTAAAATGTGGTAGTACTGCCTAGTCCTGGCAATCTGATGGACCTGAGGAAAAAGGAAGGAGTGGTAATGGGGGCGGAGGGGGGGATTGCCAGTGCTGTGCCTGCTTTAGTTCTGAGTTGGATGGTGATGTGTTTTCCTAAGATGAGCCCTTAGCACAAACTCTTAAGTTATATAGTGAGAGTGTGAAAGAGCTTTGATGAATTCTGAAGGAGCAGCTGTCTTCTTTTCAAGTAATATTTCTTTGTTTCTTTTAGATGTTTTCACCTCCTGTGAGCAGTGGGAAAAATGGACCAACTTCTTTGGCGAGTGGACATTTTACTGGCTCAAGTATGTACATTCTTGTCTTTGTGTGTAGTTAAATGTCCATTGCTGTTTATTCACTCATTGTATATTATTTGGCTCTGATGAAGTGTTCTGAAAAAGTCATTGAAATGTTAGCCTGTAATGATATGGTTATTTCATTATCCATCAGTGGTACAACTTAACACAAAATGTTGTCTTTTGCAAAATTAAAATTAGGCCTTTTTTTTTTTTTTTTTAATCAAGGAAACTGTCTCAGAATTTCATTACTTAATTTAAAAGCAATTTTCTAATACAGTTATAATCAAACATGTGGAGATAAGGCCAATGTTAAAATGAGGAGATAAATTAATGTTCCCTATTTGGAAATAGAGTGGGTGAGAAAATCTAACTTTCATAAAAAGGGAAAATCCCTTGTAAATAATATCAATTTTATTAGGTTCTATGTATAATTAACCCTTTTAAAGAAATGAGCCTGTAATTTTGCAGCTAATGCTGTGTAGTAAACCATAACTGTAAATAGAAAGCCTCTTGCTAAGCTGAGAGCTAAATATTAATTCATTTATATTTAAAACAGCCTTTCTGATGCTTTAGCTGTTTCTGTCCTCTGGGTATCGTGTGTGCAATGAATTTTTGCTGTATTGAAAGTTGCAAATTGGGAAGAACCCCACATTATCTAAACGAAAGGTCTTTGGGTGATGCTTAAAAAAGACGTTAGCACTATTCACAAAGGGAACTGGGTGCGCACTGATTATCTGGCATGTGAGGAGCAGTTTTAATAAGGGACTCTGTGAAGGTCTCTTATTAAGAGTGAATACTGAAAATATATTTATTTAAAATCTACTTGCTATTTTGTCCACTGAAATTCATCTCAAAAGGAGGCATACGTTGTTGCCTGCTATTCTTTAAGTTCAGCCCTTGAATCCATTTCTGCTGGTTAAACAGCTGCAGTATTTTAGTGCTGGCAGGGGTACATAACAGTACATTAGACAGAGTGCTATTCTTAAGTCAGGCTGGTAAATGTTGACATTTTTTCAGCTCTGAGATGCGAGTGGAATTGTCTGCTAACTATTGAATATAATTTCACATCCCTTACATTTCAGAGCAATGAGAAATCTGTTCACCTTTGTGATTTGTGTAATTGGTGTATTTTTATAAAATGAATGGCTTATACAAGTTGCTCATTTCCAAATAAGCTACTTCTCCTCCTTCTGGCACTCATCAGTCTAAGGGAATTTTAGACTATGTAACTTGATTTATAAAATATGAGATGCCTCCTGTAGTTATATTTTATCTTTTTTTTTGGGGGGGGGTCCACTTTATGATTAAAGTAATATTCATAGGTTTGTGTTTTACTCCCCTGGACCCTATGGTAGTTTATTGCTTAGTACTGGCAAGCTAATGAACCTGAGGAAAAAGAAAGGAGTGTTAGTGGGACTTAATTTTTTTGTTTTAGTATTATATCTTGTAGATCTCTGTATTCTTTATACAACTTTGGAGTGAAGGTGAACACAAGAGTCTCTTTTAGACAAATTAATTTTTCATGTTAGACATTATCCAAACAGTAGCTAACTTTATCTCTGACCATAAATGTTCATCATATTACTTAAGAAGACGTATATTTAGTTTAAATCTAGAAGTAGATTGTGTCAGAAAAGTACAGAGAGAGACTGCTCTCAAAGTCAGTGCAAAATATTCTTTTGCACTTTGTGAAAATGGACACATTTGGAGTGTCTTAAGTATGTCAGTTTTGGGATGGCCTCATGAAGTGAAGTGACTCAGAATCATGAAATTTTTGAGTTCACACTTAAATAAGAATCCTTGCTATGGTGTTTATTTTAAGTGTTTACAGGGAGTATTTCCTGGACAAATAGGAATATGTATTACTACATTTTGGTAGGTGATCATATATTGAAACTTACACAGTTCTTAAGACAACTCTGTGTGTTTGTATGTGTGTGTGTGTGTGTGTGTGTGTGTACATATACATACAAGCATACATGAACCCAGACAGAGACTTCATCCTTAGTGTGATGTTATGGTATTTCTGATGAAGATGCTGTGATTATTTTAAGATGTTGAACTTTAAGTAACAATGCATCACAGGTGTAGTTCTCAGGCCCAAATGTTGACTTGTAAAGGTAAAAATGTGTGGCTCTTTTGTTTGGGGTACTGGATGGAAAATGCAAGGTATTCAGTGCAGTACGATGGTGACTGTAATATATGGGGTACAGATTGGAGTGTTGGTTTTTCTCATCTATTCAAGACATATTTGAACACAAGGCTATTAGTGAAGTAAATGACTTATATTTCCACTCAATAAGATAAATCATTGATCCACAAAGATAAAGTCTTTTTAAAGCATCACGAATTAAAAAAAATCAGGAAAACTGGCCTTTCCCTGGAAGGATGCATGAGGTAACTTTGGACAGAGGAATAATTTTTTCTGAATTTGTTTCAGGTTCATTTCCATTGTCCTGAGTGATCTCAGATGTCACTTTCATAGGTAGCTTTGCAACTTGGGTCCAGGGGAAAAAAAAAAAGATCCAAGCTCTAAGTAGACAACAAAAAAACCCCAAAAAACCAGCTATGGTTTTTCCGTGAGTCTTGGTCATATTTCATGCTTCCAGTTCCCAGTAGCTCTTGATTCCATTAATGTAGGATGCTCCGTCGTGATTTGCAACGTGAGAATGAAAATAAAGTGTGGCCATATTCCCTTTAATCTTTCATTTCACAAACATGGTTTTTCCTACCACCTTAAGAAGCTGCTGGGGAGAATGGAATGTAACCTGAGCTACAGCCTGACATTCCCAGGGAGCATTTTTCACATGAAAGGCTTTTGTCAACCCAGGAAAGGACCAGCAGTTTTTGTTTGATGTTTGCAGGTGTTCAGCAGAGAGCACTAAAACAATTCAGCCATGATAGTTCAGAGATGCGATGACCTTAACGGGGAGACTGGTGAGCTCTGGAATGATTTTTAAGGAATAGTTGTACCCCATATGGTAAACTTATACAAAGAGATTTAATATCCGTTATATCATTGATCTTTAAAACAAACTAAAAGTATCCACATGCCTGGATAATTGGAAAATTGTTCTCATTAAAAACGTACCAAAAGGGGGGAAAAAAATGCTCCCAGAGTCTATAATTTATTGGTTAACAAGGGCTTAATTTTCTAATATAACAAAAATGCTGTTTATTTGGTGACTTTGAGTCTTTTCTAAGCAAAAGACACATATGCCAGCGTTAGGGTCTTTTTAAAAAAGTAGTTTTAAAGTTGGGCCATTAGAATTATCTATACTCCAGAACAGCCCTAGTCACATCTGTTACATGTATTTACAGTGAGTCTGTGATGGATACGACATCTTCCTCCCTCAGTTTAAAAGTTGAGCTTTTTTCTCCTGTAACTGTTTAGTTTTGCTGAGGTGTTCAGCATTTGTTAAAGATTGCCAAATCAATGGGTGTTTGGACAATTAAGAGCAGTAGTAAAATACACCACATCTCTGCCATGGCATTTTTTTTTTTTAATAGGAAAAACATTTCTTGGTTTTCATACAAGTTAGCTAGCCTTTATCCACATGACACCAAAACAACCCATCAATTTCGTGAATTCAAAGAGAAAAAAATGAATCCAGGGGGTAGTACTGTACCACAGAGAAAATGCAAATGGTCAGCATCCTGAATTGGTTTCCAGTAGTTTGAATTCAAGGTTATGACATGAAGAAAAATTGGCCTCCCCTTAAAAGTGTTTGTTGAGTGGAGTTATTTAAGAGTGTGTGTGTGTGTGTGTGTGTGTGTGTGTGTGTGTGTTTTAAAACAACCTTACTATTACAGTGCAAGTCCTAATGGTTGCATGGTTTTTTGTAAAGAGCAGAGTAATTTACTAGGTTAATAAGTAAAGTGCTATTAAAACCCGTTATGTTGGAATCATGGAATATAGGAGATAGAAACCCCTTCTCTTTATACAGCTAAAGAAAACTGAGGCTCAAGTTAAGGAATTTCTGTGCCTTTATTTGCTGTTCCAAAAGAACACATTTTGATTTGCTAATTCTCTATGGCTCTGCAAATCCTTTATTGAAATAACATTGGCTTCACTACTATGCTTTGCTGTAATTTGTATTGCATAACAGAGTATCAGGATTTTTTTTTTAAAATATATTTTATTGATTTTATACAGAGAGGAAGGGAGAGAGAGAGAGCCAGAAACATCAATGTGGGAGAGTCATTGATCAGCTGCCTCTTGCACACCCCCTACTGGGAATATGCCCGCAACCAAGGTACATGCCCTTGACCGGAATCGAACCCGGGCCCCTTGAGTCCCCAAGCTAATGCTCTATCCATTGAGCCAAACCGGTTTCGGCCAGAGTATCAGGATTTATGTGTTGATATTTGTGCATACAAATGCTTCTGCGTGTGCATGCGACCTTTGAATATTTTCTAAGTTTTGGAATTGAATTTTGGATATTGATCATTCTCTTTAGCCCGAACTCCCCTCGGACATATTTGCCAGATGTTAAATTGAAAAATAGGATGTGGAGGGGTACAACAGTGACAAAATTAAAGTGCTTCTTAATATGCCAGGAGGTATGCTGTGCACCTTATATGTATTATCTGTATTGTATCTTTAAAATTTTCACAAGAACTCAGGGAGATGCAAAGATTACTATGCTCGTTTCATAGACGAGGAAACTGAGATTCAGAGATGTTAGACAACTTGCTCTCAAGGCAGCCTATAATGAATTAGGTTTGAACTCAGGTTTGCCCAGCTCAACATCCTTTTCACACATGCATACACTGCAGACATAGAGTCAGGTATAACTTTCCTTTTCAAGATTATATAGGGATAATAATGTATTATTGAGGCTTGGCCTCACCCAAGGGTATGTTTATTGATTTTAGAGAGAGATGAAGAGAGAGAGAGAGAGAGGGAGGGAGAGAGAGAGAGAGAGAGAAATATCCAATGGCTCCCTCCCTATGGGCAACTTAGATATATGGCCTGGCCATGAATCAAACCCGAAACCTTTTGG